CGTGGCGCGGGGCGTGGGTCGGCCCCCAGCCAGGACCTGCGGTCCGTGTCGCGGGCGAACGGCGGGGACGAGATGGTGCAGCCCTCTTGGGGGCGGACGCGGACAACTCCCCCGGCCTGCGCCATCCCGTTGGAGGAGGCAGCGGGATGTCAGGTCTGGAGCCAGGCAAGGTGGCGCAGGGATGGCGAGGAGCTTTCCCAACGCCCCTGAGACAACAGCGGGGCTGAAGGGCAACGCATCCTTAGGCAGCCCTAAAAAAAGGCAAGAGGAGCAGGTTGGAGGAGAGTGGGCACAAGGGGAAGGGAATCTAGAGGCAGGCAGGAGCCAGACCCATGACCCCCAGACGTGTGGGATATGGATGGCTCAGGAAGAACGGGCACCTGGCAGCCCCATCTCCAGACTCACAGCTCATGAGAACGTTTAACAACACTCAGAAGCTGCAGGATGCCTCACTTTGGAGGTCAGCTTGTGTTTTAAGTATGTCGCACCATCACATGCTGCAGCCGGTGTCCGCGGTGCAGACAGAGCTGTCAACATGCGCAGATCCAAAACACCATTACAACCACCCTGCCCTGAGGCATTGAGCATGCTGGCAGAGGGGCGTGTGCCAGGCACGCACCCCGGCCCATACACAGCTCGCAGGGCTGTCTGCCATCTCCACCCGGGGGGTGTTTATTCGGCCACAGTGAGGCTGGAGGTTATTTCAGGAGACAGGGACCCAGAGTCCTCAGTAGCACCCCATCAGGGTTACTGCTCTTCCTTACGACCAAGCCAAAACTTGTATTTATCGCTCACCAAGTTTCTCCAAATTCCTGGTGTGCAGAAATGGTTCCACCCTGACTCCTTTTGGCTTCTCACAGATGCAGAGATAAAAACTCCCTCTCCCTAAGATCCCTTCATTTGAAAGCAAGGTACCAAATGCCATCTGCAAATGGAGGAAAGCACGATTTCCTCTTCCTCTTTCCTACTGCAGAGCAGACAGGTTTAAATTCCCAACATCAAGAAGATGAAGGATGTGGGACTGGATATACCAAGGTGTTTAGGCTCCAGAGATGCAGAGACATAACTCAAAATAGCCAAAATCACCCACGTGGAGCAGGCGCCTATCTATCAGCACTGCTATGCTTCTAAAAAAATCTGGCTCCTGGCAATCTGTAATGCACTTACTGCACTAAACACTCTCCTGCTTAACACGTTAGTTACTTGTTTTATAATCTTCCCCCCCTTATGGCGGTATTCAGACTCAAGGTTTCTAAATTAACAAATAAATAATAACGATGTGAGTTTTATACATTTCGAATTAAATTCCAGTTTTTATCCAAAAGCCAGCTAACACACATGCCAAGGAGAAAAGTTATTGCTAAAAAATGTTGGCATTCATAACAAATGTATATATAAAAAAAAAAGCAGCCTATCCCAATACACACAAGTTACTGCTGAAATAAATGGGGGTGAACTGAATGGGATAAGAACAGTGTGTCCTCCTGGTTATCAAAGGAGAATTATCAAATTCAGTGTAAAGGCCATAGCTATCTACAAGTCACTGCAGCTGGATTGCTGCACCCTCCAGCCGAGCGAGTCTTTCTTTAATCATAAAAGCTAAAAAAGCACAAATGCAAAGAGAGATGAAAACCTCAGTGATGTAGGTTTCCTCCTTACCGACTGAAATAATGAATCAAACTGATGCTCTTTAAATCCCTGGAATGAACAGGCTGGACTGTAAGGCACTCGAGGGCTGGAGGGAGCCTTCCTCATCCCCCAGCCTCAAGGCAGGGTCTCGTAAGGGTGGGTGGCCCACAGGGTGCTCAGGCCACCTCCATCACCACTTGGGGAGACCCACTCTAGGGTTGCCGTGCGGTACCTGGGCTGCCCACCAGCGCGGGGCTCACTTATTCAGGAAATCCTGTCCCACGTACCAGAAACTTGCGCCTCTTGCCTGCCCCTCTTCGCAGCCGGGGGGTGTCCAGGCTCTTCCCCGCGCCGGCCCGTGGGGCACGGAGGCCCCGCGCCGTGCAGGGGCTGCCCTGACCGCGCGGGAGCAGCGCCCGGACCCGCGGGGGAGCCCGACTGCAGCGGAGCGGGG